ATCAGGTTAAGTCATGGGTGTTCTGAAGTTTGGAGCATTTTACAATGTATATAGTGGGAAAGGAAGGCATCTACAGAGACGAAGCCAGGACTAAGATTCACACAAGGAAAGTTGTGTATAAGGGAGGATTCAACCAGATGGCGACTGTTAAAGTTGGAAGTAGGGAAGACAGTTTTAGCAGAAGACAATAGGATGACTGTGATCTCTGATGCGACAGAAAAGAGCATCGCTAGTGTCGGCAAGCCTAACACTAAGTCTGTCTGAAAGAGATCAGCCAGTTTCCCCAAAGTACTGAAGAGGACAGGAGGAACAAGAAATAGAGTAGACACCAGGAGCATGTATAGAGGGAGGAGGTATGAACTAGATTAGTGCGAAGAGTGTTAGTCTGGGAGAAAGTAAGTGTGATGTCTAACCCTGTCAGGGTCAAGAGGCCCTCTCCTAAACTCGTTCTCAGGGTCGAAAATTTTTTGGAAAAAAAAAATTATTTTTTCTTATGAAATGACAGAGAATTTTTTCCCAATCATAATGACACCAAAAGCATGAAATCTGATAGAAAACTTACAGAATTATGCTCTCGTGAAGTTAGTGGTCTCGACGATGTTTACGCATCAGCGATTTCGCCCAATTTGAGCCCTATTTTCGGCCAATTTCAGTGTACTAGTCGACAAAAATCATATCTATTTCACTAGAACTCCATTTTTCTATCAAATGAATACAAGAAACCACCCATTTACTGATTTCAAGTATCCAATAAAGTGGTCAGAAATTGACAATTTTGCCAATTTCACACAAATTTCAGAAGATGCCAATTTCCAAATAGGATCCAGAATAAGCAAGACAGGCATTCCTGGCACTAAAATATCATTTTCTCTGTTCATTAGTCATGTCCCCAGGCCCCTCTTACATCTCTTTTGCTTTCCACTTTGAATTTTTATTCTCAAAAAATAGAAGATTTCCTGTTATGCAGTTTACCTGGAGTTTACCTGGAGAGAGTTCCGGGGGTCAATGCCCCCGCGGCCCGGTCTGTGACCAGGCCTCCTGGTGGATCAGAGCCTGATCAACCAGGCTGTTACTGCTGGCTGCACGCAAACCAACGTACGAGCCACAGCCCGGCTGGTCAGGAACCGACTTTAGGTGCTTGTCCAGTGCCAGCTTGAAGACTGCTAGGGGTCTGTTGGTAATCCCCCTTATGTATGCTGGGAGGCAGTTGAACAGTCTCGGGCCCCTGGCACTTATTGTATGGTCTCTTAACATGCTAGTGACACCCCTGCTTTTCATTGGGGGGATGGTGCATCGTCTGCCAAGTCTTTTGCTTTCGTAGTGAGTGATTTTCGTGTGCAAGTTCGGTACTAGTCCCTCTAGGATTTTCCAGGTGTATATAATCATGTATCTCTCCCTCCTGCGTTCCAGGGAATACAGGTTTAGGAACCTCAAGCGCTCCCAGTAATTGAGTGTCTGCATTAGTGTAGAAATGATGTAGAAATGGTATAAATAATATCAGTGCACTTGTGAAAGAACATTAGACTCGCCAGTTGACGTGTATTGGACGCTTGGTATGATTTGTTTACTTTTGAAATTTGGTAAAAATAGAATATTTCTGCTACTTTGAGCTTAATTTCACAGTACTTTTCATTATGAAACCAATCAAAATCATGTCAATTTCTGTAATATGTCTTCCATTCTATAAATTGAGACCAGGAAAACTAGAATACAACCATAAATACTATACGAAAATACACTGCAAACTCGCTGTTTTAAACTAAAAACACGGTCGGAGTTTTTTTCCTCTCATTATGCACTGTATGCTGCAGGATTTTTTTTATACTGTGCACACTGACCACACAGACCCATTCTTTCATATATAGGCCTACCAGCTTTCTCTCACTAGATTTGAAGGCGCTAGAATTTAGGCGTTCTAGTACATCAATAACCCTGGTGCGTAAGCCGTACTAGTATGTCGGAAACCCTGAAAGGGCTAAGGAACGGAGAGAGTTGTTGAGATTAGAAAGACCAGAAATGTAGGGAAGGCAGAGGACAGAAGAGTTCCCAGGAGTAGAGAGTTCGGGAGAGAAGAAATTACGTTTAGCACGTGAGAAGGGAGATTCTATGAAATGGGAAGGGTAGCCAAGACGGCAAAATGAATTATGAAGGGTGGAATTTCTGACTCAAGGAACTGAGGATCATAAATGTGGAGAGCATGGAGAAAGAGGAAGATAAGAACGCTTTTCTTGACAGAGGAAGCATGATAAGAAAAGTAGTGAATGTACATGCCACTGTGCATAGGCTTGAGGTAAACGGAAAAGGCAAAACCTGTATCTGAGCGGTGGACATGGACATCAACGAAAGGAAGCAAGGAATTAGATTCCCATTCAGCTTTAAACTTAAGAAATGGTTGGAAGAGACTAGTCATGAGGCCACAGAGCAAAAATGTCATCTACATAGCACAGCCAGAGTGAAGGGCGCACATCGATAGTAGGAAGAAGAACAGTCTCGAAGTATTCTATGTAAAGATTAGCAAGGACAGGAGAAAGAGGAGACCCCATAGCAACACCAAAGGTTTGAGAATAATATTTACCTTGGAAGGAAAAGGAATTTGAGTCCACATAAAGGCAAATAAGATCAAGAAAGACATCAATAGGTATAGGGAGATGAAGAGACCCTTCATTGGCCTTCTCTCTAAGAAAATTGAGGACATCATCAAGACGGACAGTGGTGAAGAGGGACTCAATGTCAAGACTAAGCATCTCTCCTTTTCATTAGTGTGGCTTTGTAAATGGTCCAAGTCGGACCAAAACGTCATCATAAGCTCTCTTTAGGCGTTATCTGTGTAGCCCTATACTATTTCCACAAACCATTCTCACACACCATTCCTCACCATGATCCCTCACAGCATCATTCCTCCAACACTCCTTCAACACACAGCCTGGCACACACCTTATGTTTCACTCACATTCCCCATAGCTTCTACCTCACAGCCCTACCACCTTACATGTTTTCACAATCACACACCCTACATGCCGTCTACACCTAGTCACGTAGACACGCCAACTAACTACTGCCACCCTCAGTCACCATCATCCTACTACACCCACTGGCATCAACACTGCCATGAGTCACTATCACACACTCGTTGCTTCAGCCTCCATCCTACACCCTTCCAAAACAACATCACAGGTCTTCTTTCTTCTTCAACACACCGCCGTTCCCACCGAGGCGGGGTGGCCAAAAGAAAAACGAAAGTTCTCCTTTTACATTATAATATCCTCAGAGAAGAGGTACTAGCCCCTTGCTCACCCATTTTATTGCCTCTTACATACACGCATGTCTTACGAGGAAGATTCTGTTCCACTCCCCAGGACATAGAGGAAATAAACAAGATAAGACTAGAAGAATAAAAAACCCAAGGGGTGGTATTATGTGCCTTGTACATGTATGTGTAGTGCTGACCTAAGTGTAATAGAAGTAACAGACTACCTGAAATCTTGCATTCATGAGACAGAAAAAGGACACCAGCAATCCTACCATCATGTATAAACAATTACGGCTTTGTTTACACTCACTGCGGCGGTAGTACACCTCCCTAACATCACAGGTATGTATGTAAATAAAAAACGACTTGTATATGGTGTTCACTACTACCCGTGGTTTTCGGCATCCATGGTAGAGCTTGGGGGATGGGCTTGGAACATATCCCCTGCAGATATGGGGAGCCTACTGTATATCATGAAAATTTACTTGCCTCCTTAAAGTTTAAAAGCTTAGCCAAATCACTAGGAAGGTGATGTTAAGGCTTTATTTTACTTAAGCATATTGAACATTATGAACTAGATATAAACAGAAGGCTGGTAGACGCAACCACCCAGGGAGGTATTACCGTCCTGCCGAAAGAGTGTGAAACTGAAACCTGTGATTGTTTTATACAATGGTAGGATTGCTGGTGTCTTCTTTCTATCTCTTAAGCACACTAGATAAAGATATCTTGCCACTTCTGTTTACACTTAGGTCATAATACACATGCATGTATGTATACACACCCATCTGAGTTTTCTTCTATTTTCTTAATAGTTAAAGTTCTTTATCTCCTTTCATCTCCATGGGAAGTGGAAAAAAAAACTTCCTCATAAGCCATAATGATGGGAGCAAGGGGCTAGTAATCCCTTCTCCTGTATAAATTACAAGGGGCTAGTAACCCATTATCTTTTATACATTACTAAATATAAAAAGAAGAAAAACTTTGGTTTCTTCTTTTTCAGGTCACACTGCCTCGGTGGGAGATGGCCAGTGGGCTAAAAAAAAAAAAAAGATACAACAAACCATCAACATTACTATGTGTTGGAATTATTTTGTAGTCTTGTCAATACTGTCAATATTAAAAACATGAAAAATAAAAAAAACACATGGCATGACAGTGTACCATGTCCCAAGGCCTATACAATACACCCCCTGCCATATCAAGGCACCACAACACTGCACATTCCCTAACACAGATTGGGCCTACTGAATAAATGTCACAATACCATGACTATTAATTAAAAAAACATGCTTAGGTAAGGAAACCCAAGATGCTGCAATCCTTCAAGGACCATCAAGTCACAACAGAGAGAAAATGGGAAGAATGCTGGAAGACAAGTCAGGTGACAAGATGAAGAGACAATCACAAGACAGATTAGTAGCTGGGCCCACTCTCTCCCAATTTTCTTGCTCAGTTGTGCCATAATAATGCTCCAGGAATCAGACAGACCACAACATCTAAGTTCCCTCTCCAAACTGTGGGCTATTTGTGAAGCTGGCTTAGTGTAAATTTTACTAGTTTCTATAACAAAAAGCACTCTTAATTAATGGAGACTCTTCAAAAACAAAGTAATAGTATATAAATAAGAACAAAAATGGGAGGATAAAAAAAAAAAAAAAAAAAAAAAAAAGATTTGCATGTGACAGTTTTCAAAAAATCCTCTGCAAGTGTGGAGATCAACTCAGCAATTCAAAGTCAAAACACAAACCTGGAGAGCAGTTGAAAAACTGTGTGTGATGAAATATCCTTCTACATATACAAATTCTGCTTTGTTCAGCAAAGGAAGGAGATGGGAATTGAAGACATGATCTGGTTCACAAACATTAGCAGCTCCAATATCAGCACATAAACATCGGCAAGCTCCTAAAACTAGTGCCACACACATGCCTGTTGGCTGGTCCTCTACATCCACAAATCTGAAAAGGCACAAAAGTTTTTGAAGAGTATATAAAATTTTTGCTTACCACTAAACATTTGAGTATAGAATGAGGGTAACAAGATTAAAGACATCAAGAAAAAAAATAACTTAAGTTTACTTGTAACTTAACCTAAAAGCTCAAAGTTTGTCTCTGTACAATAATCATATACAGTAGGGCCCCACTTATACAGCAGGTTAGGTTTCAGGCTACTGCCAGAAAGCAGACATCGCCAGAAAGCAGAACACCATTTTTTTCCCCACTTATAAATGCCAGGTAACAAGTTTACACTAACATATATTATATTAGCAATAGAACTAGGCATTAAAAACAATAAAAAGTAAAATACACACACAGTACAGCCATTACTTACCTTAAAATATTTGTAGTCTTAATGTAGGGTGAGAGGTGAGTTTAATTTGAAGGAAGTCAGGTCTGGGAGGCATGGAAGCCAGCCAAGTCAGCCCACCCCACCCACACGTAATACACTACATTTAATTAAAGCTCCCCAGAGCGATAAAATACATATACAGTACATTCATTAATTACCTTAAAATATTTGTAGTGTTAATGCACGGCAAGAGGTAAGTTTTATTTGTAGGAAGTCAGGTCTGGGAAGCATGATAGCCAGCCAGGCAGCCTACCCCACCCCACCCACATATAATATACATACTACAATATTTAATTAAAGCTCCCCAGAGCGATAAAATACATAGACGTACAGTACATTCATTAATTACCTTAAAATATTTGTAGTCTTAATGTAGGGTGAGAGGTGAGATTTATTTGTAGGAAGTCAGGTTTGGGAAGTATAGAATCCAGCCAGGGAAGCCCTCCCCACCCCACCCACACATAATGTAAACAAACCAGGCGAACGCGTCTGGTTTTCGTCACTTTACATTGTGTACAAGCTGTCTCCATGTTGACACAGAAACACTCCCATTCTCATGTAACACCATTTTTAGAAGAAATGACGCCCTGATTGAAGGCATACTTAGGTACAGGTACACACACACATAATTACTATATCAGTTATAATAATAATGTAGGTATGTAGTCTGCCTGGGCTACATACCTATACCTACCTACATAGCCACGTGATATAGAATGTGGCCCAGAGCCATATTATTACCATCAACATACCATGTTCATTGAGTTCATTCGTTTCTAACAACTACCTTTAGATGCCATCATAAACAAAGGAGAAGTAATGAATAATTCCTGCCGAGAATTGTAAACAGAAGCATCATGTATTAAAGAGAGTGACGTAATGTTTTCCCTCCGCCCGGCTACCACACCTCCATAGTATATAAACATAAAATGCTTATATGCTATGTAACATGTTTCTTATATAATTTTGAAGAAAATAGCATAGATAGGTTAATGAAAATGTCTATTAACATAAAATAAGGCATTTAATGTGCCCAAGAGTGATTATTATTAGTATTACGTAATGTTTTTCCTCTGCCCGGCAACCACACCATAGCATATAAACAGTATGTTTATATGCTATGTAACTTGTTTATTATATAATTTTGAAGAAAATGTCATAGATGGATTAATGAAAATGTCTATATTGACATAAAATTTGCATTTAACCCTTTGACTGTTTTGGTCGTACAGTGGAACCTCAAATATCGAACTTTCTTCGGTCCAGAAGGCTGTTCGAGTGCCTTTACCGAATTAATTTATTTCCATCAGGAATAATGTAAATTAGATTAGCCCATTTCAGACCCTCAAAAATACACTTATAAAAGCACTTACAAAAATACACTTACATAATTGGTCATGTTGGGAGCAGTTCGATTTTTGAGGTTCCACTGTATATATATATATACACGTCTTACGAGCTACCGTATTTGAAGTATATACAGTGGACCCCCGCATAACGATATTATTCCGTTCCTGAGAGCTCATTGTTATGCAAAATTATCGTTATGCGAATGAATTTTCCCCACAAGAAATAATGGAAATCAAATTAATCCGTGCAAGACACCCAAAAGTATGAAAAAAAAAATTTTACCACATGAAATATACATTTTCCTACACACAAAGAGAAGGATACATGCACAATAGTAGAGTAGTACATGCACAATATATATTGTGCATGTACTACTCTACTAAATGAAGAATAAATGACACTTACCTTTATTGAAGATGCAGCAATGACTGATGAGACACTGTGTCCTGGGAGTGCCTTTTCCTCCTGAGTACTGTAGGTCCTGTTTGGCATTTTCTTCCAGAACAGGCCTTATCACACTGTGTATGCCACTACGATTCTTAAATCTCTCAAACCAACCTTTGCTGGCTTTAAATTCACCAATATGAGCACTAGTTCCAGGCATTTTTCCCTGTTCACCTGAGTGTTAGTCGACTGGTGTGGGTTGCATCCTGGGAGACAAGATTAAGGACCTCAATAGAAATAAGTTAGACAGTCTTCGATGACACTGACTTTTTTGGGTTATCCTGGGTGGCTAACCATCTGGGTTAATTGTTTCTTGGTATTCTCAATAAGCCACACCAACAACGGTGCTACACCAGCAGCAGCAGCTGACAGTGCTACAGCAGCAGCAGCTGAGTGCTACAGCAGCAGCAGCAGCTGACAGTGCTACAGCAGCAGCTGACAGTGCTACAGCAGCAGCTGACAGTGCTACAGCAGCAGCTGACAGTGCTACAGCAGCAGCTGACAGTGCTACAGCAGCAGCAGACGGTGCTACAGCAGCAGCAGACGGTGCTACAGCAGCAGCAGATGGTGCTACAGAAGCAGCAGACGGTACTACAGCAGCAGCAGCAGCAGCTGACGGTGGTACAGCAGCAGCAGCTGACGGTGGTACAGCAGCAGCAGCTGACGGTGGTACAGCAGCAGCAGCAGCAGCAGCTGATGGTGCTACAGCAGCAGCAGCAGCTGATGGTGCTACAGCAGCAGCAGCAGCAGCTGACAGTGCTACAGCAGCAGCAGACGGTGCTACAGCAGCAGCAGACGGTACTACAGCAGCAGCAGCAGCTGACAGTGCAGCAGCAGCTGACAGTGCTACAGCAGCAGCTGACAGTGCTACAGCAGCAGCTGACAGTGCTACAGCAGCAGCTGACAGTGCTACAGCAGCAGCTGACAGTGCTACAGCAGCAGCAGACGGTGCTACAGCAGCAGCAGCAGCTGATGGTGCTACAGCAGCAGCAGCAGCTGACAGTGCTACAGCAGCAGCAGCAGCTGACAGTGCTACAGCAGCAGCAGCAGCTGACAGTGCTACAGCAGCAGCAGCAGCATCAGCAGTTCACCATGGTACCACAGTATTTAGATAATATTTCTCACCCTTTTTACCACAGGGTTGGCACTAGAAGCTTTCTTGGGGCCCATGGTCACTTATTTTGCAGATAAAATCACCAAAAATGCTGTAATAATACGAAATGTTCCGATTGTATGCTTGGATGTTACCGTGGAGGCTGGCTTGTAAACAATGCCACCGGCGGAACATGTGAGGCTGGCTCAGGCCTCACATAGACGCGTCTCGGACGAATAGCGTTGAGCGAGTTTTTTAGCGCTATGCGAGGCAAAATTTTAGTGATAAAGTGTATCGCTATGCGGATTTAACGTTATGTGATGCCAACGGTATGCAGGGGTCCACTGTACACCCAAAAATTCTAGCGGCTTGAAATCAAGCAGGAGAAAGCTGGAAGGCCCACATGTGAGAGAATGGGTCTGTGTGGTCAGTGAGCATCATATAAAAAAAAATCCTGCAGCACGCAGGGCATAATGAGAAAAAAAAAACTCAGACCATGTTTTTGGATTAAAACACCGACTTTGAGGTGTATTTTCGTATAGTATTTATGGTTGGATTCTCATTTTCTTGGTCTCATTTGATAGAATGGAAAACATTTTATAGAAATAGAGGTGATTTTGATTGGTTTTACTATGAAAAGAACCTTGAAATGGAGCTCAAAGTAAGGAAAATGTTTGAATTTTGCCGATGTTCAAAAGTAAACAAATGATGTCATTGTCCAATAAATGTCCAACTAGCCATTCTAATATGCAGTCATGAATGGGTTGATATTATTTATACAATTATTACAGTATTGCAGTAGTCAGCATAACAGTAAATCTTCTATTTTTTGTTTGAATAAAAATTCAAAATAGAATGCAAGAGTAATATCAGAGGGGCCTGGAGACATGACTGATGAACAAAGAAAATGTTATTTTAGAGAAAGGAATGTCTGCATTGTTTATTCTGGACCCTATTTTGAAATTGGCATATTTTTAATTTGCATGAAACTGGCCAAATTGCAAATTTCTGACCACATTACTGGGTAGTTGAAATCAGTAAATGGGCAGTTTCTTATACTCAATTGATAGAACAAATGGAGTTCTAAAGAAATAGCTATGAGTTTGGTCGACTGGAACAATGAAATTAACCGAAAATAGAGCTCAAAGTGGGCAAAATCGCCGATTTGTAAATATTGCCAAGGTCGCTAACTTCGCGAGAGCATAATTCCGTAAGTTTTCCATCAAATTTCGTTCTTTTGGTGTCGTTACCATCAGAAAAAGATTCTCTATCATTTCATAAGATTTTTTTTTTTTTTTTCAAAAATTTTTCGACACCAGGAGACACCTCAGGATTTTGGGTTGCAACAGTCAAGGGCTTACTGTGCCCAAGAGAATGTAAACATACTGGGTGGTGCATGCTGTATTTGAAAGACCACTTGCTGTATAGAAAGTTTTGGTCATAATTTGAGGTCGCTGTATTTGCGGAATGCCGTAAGGCTAAACGCTGAAAAGCAGGGCCCTACTGTATGAGGAGAGACATCATAAGAAATTATAAGATAAAAGCTTACAATTTATTCAGATGGTGGTATTTGACATTTTTTTTTTTTCCCCAACTTGTAAGCACAAAGTCAAAATAGTATTTTCAAAGCAGCCCATCTCAGGTATAGTATTAGGTTCAGTACCACAGTCTAGCTTATAAAGTAAACCTTATTGGGTATACTGGTAATAAAGATACTGTATGTAATGCAGATCAAGTCTAGATGACATTTTACTCAGGTGTGTGAACTTTAAGGGGCTCTGCTTGAGAAATATATATTGCTCTGGTTTCTAAGTGTTTATATGCACATGTTAGCTTGTTGCCCCAAGTTACTGTGGACTTCACTGATGTTTCAGTAACTGTTTAAAGACAGCAAACCAAAGGTAATGTTTTTTCAAACAAAAAACAAAATAAAATGTGAAGATGTAACAATGGAAGAAATAGGTAATGGGTGATAATGTGAATAAATAAAATGCAGTGTCTAGCTGGGTTATTTGTTATCTCAGTAGTACCAGTTGCCAGTAACCAGTTACCAGTAGTATGACTCACTACCAACCGTCTGTGTGAATCACTGACTGTTATTCACGTTGCTGCTGACCATAGCATATTTTTGAACACCGCTCACCCTCTAGGCACTGGTGAGTCAGTCTGAGATAGAGAGCAGAGAGAGGCAGGGCGGCTGATGGTGCTTCCCATACTTTCCGTTATAATTATACATACTAACCAGCCTATGTGAGTGTTTTTACCCCATCCATGTTATCGAACCCACATGACAATTTGGTGGCAGTGGTGGCGAACCCACACGACAGTTATCTCGGAGAACCTTGGAAGATACTGAAGTGCATTTTACATCTACTAAAGAGATTCCAATTGGTGTGAACCAACTAACCCTAACATTATGCTCTTACCTTGTGACAACTCCACTGTCTTGTATAATTGTGGAGAGTTTCTTTGCCTGCTCATCCTTGCCAATTCCTCCGACAAACACAACCCTATGGCGTTCGCCCAGTACCCAGCCAAAGACTCGGGAGGCATTGAGAGCACATCCTCCAGCCGTGTACTCAACAGGATACCTGGAGTTAATTGTATTTGGAATTACCAGTAATTCTACATAAATTTACCTTTTATCATATATTGAATCAAATATCTGTAACTAGTTTTGAGAATTTTCTACCTGCAGCCTGGCTTTTCAATTGATTGCCTGTTCAACCAAGTTGTTGCTGTTGGCAGCCCACTGGCCTACATATTCATCATTGCCTGGCTGATCTGGCACTTAGCAGAGGTTGAGATCCAGTTGTCCTTTGACAATTTCTACGTTTATTCCAGCAATATTTCTAACATCTGCTGTTAACATGGTGAATGGCCTTAGACCACAGATAATAGCACCCCTGCTTTTCACTCTCTATTTTACACTCAGTTCGTGGATGCAGTGTACACGGTAAATACAATACAGTACAGGGTTACAAATTAGCCATGCCTACTAGTTATTTTCACCAAAATGACATATTACTCAGACAGCAATATACAATAAGGCACACAGAATAAAAATATTTAGGATTATTTAATTACATTTTATTATTAGATCAGGAATACATGCAGTATAATTTTCATACTGCAATAGGTCATAATATCTTAGAAGAAAGATAAAGGTACTGTACATTATTGTGATAAATCATGAATGGAATGGATGTAGGCATAAAGCATATTCACTTCAAAGTTACACACTTGTTAACTGTCCCTCAGTTATTGATTCTAATGTTATCAACCTCCCAAGTCACCAAAGTCTTTACCCCAAATTTAGCTTGTGAGATAAGATGATTCATAAAATTATCACTTTAAATTGTCCATTCTCACAATGAATTTACTCAGTAACTACCATATGATGTTTCAACATCCACTCAAGGTTTGTGATCCTTAAATGTCTTTCAGTTAACCATGAAATGATCTGTACACTTACTTTTTCATAACCAAGCTAAATAAAGCTCGTTGTTGGGCATTAACTTCCAACTGGCCATCTACAGGAAGTTGAAATTCATCATGTAAACTTCTATCTTTAACAACAGCAGTTATGTCCAGCAATGGGTTTCCAAATGCTACAAGTAAGGGCTGTGGCCTATCCTTGTCCTCAATCTGTAAAGGAATGACATGTTATTTAGTATTATAAATTAAAATTAGATTTAAGAAAAAACTAAAAATAGATAAAAAAAAATAAAATAAAAATTACTACTGGATACTGTATTTCTACTCGAAAGTACTGCTATCCCTACAGATTCACAGAATATAAATTTGCTGTTTTGAGATTTCACAGATTTTTATTAAGGTGGCTCCAGCAAATAAATTTGAGAATTATATTTAATATGTTCACTTTATGAATGATTTGCGAATTTGTAATGACATAACTGTAATAAACTTCAGTCAGCGTGGCACAACAGGTAATGCACTGGCCTGCTAGTTTAAGGACTAGCTTGCCATGGATTTGAACCCTCTGTTTAGCAAGATGTTCCCTTTAATATTTTAAATACAAATGGCACAGTCATAAAATAGAACACATTGGGGTGTGTTATTGCTGAAATGAGCATGTTTGCATATCATATCCCCTTCATAAAATATTTATATCACAGTAGTTTTCTAACACAAATAGTGGCAAAGGTAATTTTGTTCCTAAGACAAAAGTTATGCTGAAATTAACCACTTACCTATCAGTCATTTAGATGTACATCAGAGGGATCAGGGTCTAGAAATGAGAGAATGGGTCTATGCAGTGGGTGTACACCTGGAGTAAACCTGGAGGGCATTTTGGGGGTCAACGCCCCTGTGGCGGTGTGCACAACATAAAAAATATCATTCCCCATGAAAAGCGTGATGGGAACAGCTAACTTCAGACCTTTTTTGATTAAAATAGCAACTTTGGAAATTTTCTAGTTTTTTATTAAAATATATTTATACAAAAATTGCTACTTTAATATCTAGTTTTGTTACTTAAAAAATCATTACATTTAATAATCTTATCTTCAGACAACTTAATGATATTAAATTTAGCATTCAAATAATCTAATTTCAACTATACAATGTCTGTCAAGTAGCTACTTTTAGGTTCTAATTTTATTTCAGTCTGCCTGAAATGGTCTGCAAAACCTGGGGCTTTTCAAAACATGTGAATTGAATGACACCTTATTTTATAAAAATTACAGCACATTTTTTAAAAAAAATGCTTTGTTAAGGTATTTCATTATTAAGTACAATAATACAAATCTTGATGATTACAATGATCATACATAGTAATACATATTTAAATTACCTAGGATTACCCCAAAAAAAGTCAGTGACTTCTTGCCATTGGGATCCCTGCATCATCATTATGATTATTATTATTATTATTACTAACATGTTAATTAACAATTTCCACAACAGATAAGTGTGTTTCCCATGAACAGTATGTAATACTGATAGGGTTCTGACCAAGGAATAAAGTAAATACTGACCCAGTTTAATAACTAATTGACATGTATTTGCTGCTAGATGAACAGTGGTAGCAGGTGTAAATATATTTAGGTACAGGCACATTATACATAGTAACATATGGGTAAATCACCTAGGATAACCCCCAAAAAAGTCAGACAAAATGACTTATTTCCACTGGAGCCCTTGTCTTATTTCTACTGGTGTCCTTGATTTACTTACACTGGGGTCCTTGAACAAGAAATGTCCATATGTCTTGCCATTTTTGGGACATGTACTCTGGACACGTACCAGTACATACAACATACTATGAACACGTGCCAGTATGGGCAACACGTACTCTAGACAGTAAGGACCAGTAAAGTCAACTAGTACTTAAGACATGTATGTACTAGTAAGGACAACACTTACTCTTTCACGTATCAGTAAGGAAACGTTGTATTCTGGACACGTACCGGTAGGGACAAAACGTACAATACATGCAACACACACTCTAGACACTTATCAGTAAATACAAATAGGGCATGTAGTTTGGACACGACCTAGACACGTACATTACGTACCACACGTAACCTGGAGACGTACATACAACACGTAAACTGGACACGTACATTACATACAACACGTAAACTGGACACGTACATTACATACAACACGTAAACTGGACACGTACATTACATATAACACGTAACCTGGAGACGTACAATACATACAACACGTAAACTGGACTCGTACATTACATACAACACGTAACCTGGACACGTACATTACATACAACACGTAACCTGGACACGTACATTACATACAACACGTAAACTGGACTCGTACATTACATACAACACGTAACCTGGACACGTACATTACATACAACACGTAACCTGGACACGTACATTACATACAACACGTAACCTGGAGACGTACATTACATACAACACGTAACCTGGAGACGTACATTACATACAACACGTAACCTGGAGACGTGCATTACATACAACACGTAACCTAGACACGTACATTACATATAACACGTAACCTAGACACGTACATTACATACAACACGTAACCTAGACACGTACATTACATACAACACGTAACCTGGACACGTACATTACATACAACACGTAACCTGGACACGTACATTACATACAACACGTAACCTGGAGACGTACATTACATACAACACGTAACCTGGAGACGTACATTACATACAACACGTAACCTGGAGACGTACATTACATACAACACGTAACCTGGAGACGTGCATTACATACAACACGTAACCTAGACACGTACATTACATACAACACGTAACCTAGACACGTACATTACATACAACACATAACCTAGACACGTACATTACATACAATACGTAACCTAGACACGTACATTACCTGGAGTTTACCTGGAGAGAGTTCCGGGGGTCAACGCCCCCGCGGCCCGGTCTGTGACCAGGCCTTCTGGTGGATCAGAGCCTGATCAACCAGGCTGTTGCTGCTGGCTGCACGCAAACCAACGTACGAGCCACAGCCCGGCTGATCAGGAACTGACTTTAGGTGCTTGTCCAGTGCCAGCTTGAAGACTGCCAGGGGTCTGTTGGTAATCCCCCTTAAGTGTGCTGGGAGGCAGTTGAACAGTCTCGGGCCCCTGACACTTATTGTATGGTCTCTTAACGTGCTAGTGACACCCCTGCTTTTCATTGGGGGGATGGTGCATCGTCTGCCAAGTCTTTTGCTTTCGTAGCGAGTGATTTTCGTGTGCAAGTTCGGTACTAGTCCCTCTAGGATTTTCCAGGTGTATATAATCATGTATCTCTCCCTCCTGCGTTCCAGGGAATACAGGTTTAGGAACCTCAAGCGCTCCCAGTAATTGAGGTGTTTTATCTCCGTTATGCGCGCCGTGAAAGTTCTCTGTACATTCTCTAGGTCGGCAATTACATACAATTATACAATTAGGTCTCAATTACATACAACACGCAACCTAGACACGTACATTACATACAACACGTAACCTAGACACGTACATTACATACAACACGTAACCTAGACACGTACATTACATACAACACGTAACCTAGACACGTACATTACATACAACACGTAACCTAGACACGTACATTACATACAACACGTAACCTAGACACGTACATTACATACAACACGTAACCTAGACACGTACATTACATACAACACGTAACCTAGACACGTACATTACATACAACACGTAACCTGGACACGTACATTACATACAACACGTAACCTAGACACGTACATTACATACAACACGTAACCTAGACACGTACATTACATACAACACGTAACCTAGACACGTACATTACATACAACACGTAACCTAGACACGTACATTACATACAACACGTAACCTAGACACGTACATTACATACAACACGTAACCTAGACACGTGCATTACATACAACACGTAGGCTGGACATATACCAATACATACAACATGTAATTAGTCACGTACCAATACATACAGCACGTACGCTGGTCACGTACCAGTACATACAGCACGTACTCTGAACACGTGACAACCACAACAACAACAAACTCCCTCGATCAGCTGACTACCACAACTCTACCAAGACTGCCACAACACTCTTGCCTCACTGTTCCTGGCCAGGGCGGAGATGAGGGGCGAGCAGTAGCTTTAACTAACCCACAAGACAACTAGGAAGGTGTGCAGTACCTACCAAAGTATCCATGGCGGTTGTGGTGAGGGAGAGTAGCGGTGTAGAGTGAGACAGAGAGAGAGAGAGAGAGAGTGTGTAGGAGGGTGCCGAGCTGCAAGGTACACACTCAGGGTCGTAGCGGACGGTCAACTGGTCTCCTCTGCGTGTGTTTACGGTGTTGCCAGGCAACGGCACCGGCATGACGGTTCTTGTCTGGTGTCGGGGCACAGCTCTCGATCCGGGAGTTGAGAGCCGATCGCATCTTTGCTCCCTTCCCTCACCTCTCCCCTTCCTTGCATTGATTTCCATCGTCTCCTAACCCACCTTTCCCATTCCATCCGGCCACTGCGTGGGTGGGGCACGGCCCACCCTCCTTACGGGTTTAGCGCTTCTTCGTATATTGTATACTTAGATGTTTGCCACATTATCAATAAATGTAATTGTAAAGCCAATTAACTTTTATTTTAAATACACTACTGAAGCAGAATATTCTACTGAATGTACAGAAATGCATACAACCATATACCTGTCTTTGTAACTCACTTCGTGCTTTGTAGTAATCTGTTACAGTAAAGTTTATACCGTTGTCTCACTGCCTCTCGAGTTCATCTTAAGTTAATTTGTAAGCCAGCCCGTAATGCTATCCATAGTATAAGTGGCTTTGGCATACTGCTCTTTTCTGTATTTTTTGTACCTCTGTATGTGTGCACAAATTTTTAAATAAATAAATAAATAAATAAATAAATAAATATAATAAGCCACGTCCATTTGTAATTTGCGCAATCTTGTGCACCCTAACTGCAAATGCTTTCTCGTCGTCCATGTACACACCTTTATGGTGGTCATCCCCTCAAGGGAGGTTAAGATAAGATAAGATAAGATTTCGTTCGGATTTTTAACCCCGGAGGGTTAGCCACCCAGGATAACCCAAGAAAGTCAGTGCGTCATCGAGGACTGTCTAACTTATTTCCATTGGGGTCCTCAATCTTGTCCCCCAGGATGCGACCCACACCAGTCGACTAACACTCAGGTACCTATTTGCTGCTAGGTGAACAGGACAATAGGTGTAAGGAAACGTGTCGAAATGTTTCCACCCGCCGGGAATCGAACCCGGGCCCTCCGTGTGTGAGGCGGGAGCTTTAGCCACCGGGCCACCCTTGACGCTGGTGAGGGGCTCTTGATCTAGGGAATTGGATCTGTGCTCCGGTTCCCTAAATACCTTCCATCCCCCCCACAGGCGCTGTATAACCCTACGGATTTAGCGCTCCCCATGATTATAATTATGGTGGCCATGGTATTTTAATCCAAGGAATTGGATTAAAATCCCATGACCTTACTTTAGATCAGACATTATTACTGTGTTTAGAGTTTCTCCATAATTATTATTAACAATAGTTACCACCTAAAATTATTATTTCTACAAGTACGGTTATTACAGACCTCGCTGACATATTAATATTTTCATTTCTACAAGTACATGTACAAGGTACACAGGCCTGGTTGACATCAATAAAATACTACTATATAGAAAGCCGCTTGTTATGCAGAGCATTTCGGGCAAATAAGGTCAGTTTTGTCCCGGGATGCGACCCACACCAGTCGACTGTAACACCCAGGTACCAATTTTATACTGATGGGTGAGCATAGACAACCGGTAGAGGAAACACCACCAATGCTTCAACCCTCACCGGGAATCGAACCCGGACGTTCACAGCGTGAAGCAAGAGCTTTTGCCACCAGGCCACGGGCTATAGAAGCCCCATCCTTTTCCTCATCCTCGTATCTGACATAGAGATGTAAGCCACAGCACAGTGTCCTTTGCTGACGATACCAGAATCTGCATGACTGCCATCCATTGAGGACACTACAAATCTCGAAACTGACATTAACCAAGTCTTTAAATGGGCCTCAGAAAACAATGTGAAGTTCAATGAAGAGAAATTTCAATTAATTTGCTATGGAAAAAACTTAATGTGAAGGCAGTGACAATGTCAGAGAATCTCACATTCAAAGATCACAACAATGTGTCTACCACATCTGCTAGGAAACTGATAGAATGGATAATGAGAATCTTCAAAACTAGGGATGCCAAACCAGTGATGATTCTCTTAAAATCGCTTGTTCTCTCGAGGATGGAATATTGCTGTATACTAACTGGTGGCTAAAACTCCCGCTTCACACACGGAGGGCCCGGGTTCGATTCCCGGCGGGTGGAAATTCCGACACGTTTCCTTACACCTATTGTCCTGTTCACCTAGCAGCAAATAGGTACCTGGGTGTTAGTCGGCTGGTGTGGGTCGCATCCTGGGGGACAAGATTAAGGACCCCAATGGAAATAAGTTAGACAGTTCTCGATGACGCACTGACTTTCTTGGGTTATCCTGGGTGGCTAACCCTCCGGGGTTAAAAATCCGAACGAAATCTTATCTTATCTTATCTTAACTTTCACTGCACATTTAAGTACAATAAAACACCTAAATTACTGAGAACGGTTGAAGTCCTTGACCTGTACTCCCTAGGAACGCAGGCGAGAAAGATACATGATAATAAACATTAGGAAAATCCTAGAGGGATTAGTCCCAAATCTGCACATGGAAATCACTTCCTACGAAAGGAAAAGACTCGGCAAGCGGTGCAACATCCCCCCAATAACAAGCAGGGGCGCCATGAGTATGCTAAGAGACCACACAGTGAGTGTCAGGGGCCCAAGACTGTTCAACTGCCTCCCAGCAAACATAAGGGGAATTACCAATAGACCCCTGGCTGTCTTCAAGAGGTAGCTGGACAGGCACCTAAAGTCAGTTCCTGACCATCCAGGCTGTGGTTTGTACGTCGGTTTGCGTGCGGCCAGCAGTAACAGCCTGGTTGATCATGCCCCGATCCACAGCGAGGCCTAGTTATGAATTGGGCAGCAGGGGCGTTGACCCTCGAAACACCATCTAGGTATACAGATTATTATTATAATAAAAAAGAAGCGCTAAGCCACAAGGGCTATACAGCGCTGGTATACAGAGTATTTCAAGCAACTTAGGTTAATCTTGTCTCCCAGGATGCGACCCACACCAGTCATCTAACACCCAGGTATCTACTTACTGCCAGGTGAACAGGGACAGCAGGTGTAAGGAAACATGCCCAACATTTAACCCGTACTGGGAATCAATCCCTGACCCTCAGTGTGTGAGCTGGGGATGCGAGGGGAAATAGCCACGGGTCTTATAACCTCAGCCCACTCACTGTATCTCAAGGCATGCAAAAGGAATAGTACAGAGCACGGCATGAGTTTAATAGTTAAATTAAAATTTGAAGGCAATCAGAAGTATTCACAATTTATAACACGGATGCCAATATTCCAATTTCTTCAATAAGTAGACTTACTTTGGTTGCTGTGCGATCCAAGGAAGGTATCCTCTTACGGTCTTACTCATTCTACCTCAATGCGCGCGACAAACAGTACAGGACGTTCATAAAATTCTAATTCAGCAGAACAGAAAGATATCCTTGTGTATATATGTGAATGTATGTATGCTTATTTATGCAGCTAGACCCCAGATAAGTATGGGCGTCAAGGGGGTGAATCCCATACCCCGGAGCACCAGGCTTATGGTAAGCTATTTCATCAAATCCTGCCACATGCAGTGAACTTCGTACGAGATTTCGGAATGCTTAACAGTTAGCAAACGAGCGAAATTATTTAAAAACATTTTCTCTCAGTCCACTGCAGGATTCGAACCTGCTCATTTTGCATCAAAATACAATAATTGACATTAATGGCATAATTTATAGAAAGCCGCTGATTATGCAAAGGATGACCGTGCATCTGCTGGGGCTGAATTCCAATAACCATTTGTGAGACTGATCCTGCGGGTTATCCAATTTCATGTGTAGGCTTTCCTTGTTTTTTCTTGTTTGTGTTTTGTTCATTAGATTACATCATCTGCCAACAGGGAAATGTTTCACTATTTCTTCCGTCATGACGCTCACGTATGCCAAGAATATTACAGATTTCAGTACTGATGCTTATAGAGCCACAATTGTCACTCTTCCTCATTCAGACATCTCTTTCCAGACAATCAATGTTTCCTACTGTCTCTTCCAGCTTTTGTCCCAGCCTCTTGTTTGATGCTGTGTCAAAAGTCTTCCTAAAATTTAAAAATATGCAGTACACCTATGTCCCCTGTTCTCTCTCTCTCTCCCTCCCTCCCTCCCTCCCTCCCTCCCTCCCTCTCTCTCTCTCTCTCTCCCTCCTTTTTTTTTTTTTTACACAGGGTTTGACGAGGTTAAGTATCCCTAGCTTTATTGACAAGCTATTTACAGGTTAAGGATTCCTAACTTTATTGGCAAGCTAAGAGCTGTTACCTACATCAGCTCATTTGAAAGCATTTTTATTGTTATGAGACATACAAGTAGGGAACATGATGAAGTTGGAGCCATCTGTGGGCCAGCATTTTCATTTGATCAACTGACTTTATCTCGTTGACATCATTATGCTGTACGAATGTGTTCCATACTCGAGTCATCCTGGGTATATATGATCTCAGATGGAGTGATGTTCTGGAGAAGGGTACAGCCAGAGTGAAGCTGCTGCTTTCTGCCCGTCTTGTGGTATAAAAGCTTGTTTCACGCTGTCCTCGAAGTGGATCCAAGTGTGGTACTTTGACAATATTGGCCTTGTACATAACAGTAAGGCCACCCACATCCCTCCTGTGTTGAAGGCTCTGCTGAAATGACAGATCTATCCAGGATGGGTCCAGGCGAGAGATGAGACGTCTTGCTCTGTTCTCTACTCTGTCAAGCAGTCGCAGATGGGAGGGAGGGGGGCAGGCAAACCAAGAAAGTGGAACATACTCAAGGTGTGAGCGTACTTGTGCCTCATACAGAATCTTGCAACCCCTACTGTCAATCAGATGCGAGATACGGCGAAGTGCTGTAAACTTCCTGGCTGCCTTGTTTGCAAGATTTACAACATGGTTCTTCATGGTTAGTTTGGAGTCAAATTTCACCCCAAGGATATCAACTTCTTCTCCAGGTGCCAACACCCTCCCATTCATCCTTACTACTGGACCAGCATTACCATCATGGTGCCTAGAGACGGTCATCATTTGCGTTTTCTCAGGTGCAAATGTTACTTGCCATCTATTTCCCCAAGCTGATATAGCTCTCAGTTGGTGATTGATGTAGCTTAGAGCAGCTGGCATTTCTTCTCTTGGATAAGTGAATGTCAGTGTACAGTCGTCTGCATATGCATGTTATTCTGGGATGAGATG